ATATATTCGTAGTTTAGGATACTTGTAATAGAAGCAAAAAGCCGGCAACTCAAGAAGCAGCACGACATCGGTTCCAGGTGTTAATAATCCCGTCATAATTGTGCCTCTGCAGTGAGGATAATTCCTATTAAATATCACTAAATACTTGTTTGTATACAAATCGTCGTATATATCTCGCTGTGCTACCAGGACTCTTTTATACTTTTTATACTTTTCTTCAGGATAACCGAGATTTCCTGCTGTCGTGCAGAGAAAATGGTATTTATTATATGTTTCTATGGTATCGTGACAAAATTAGGAATAAATACGTCAAATTTATTATAAAATTCTCACTATAATATTAATATGAATAAATAAAAGTATGAATAATAAATAAGTAAAAATTTAAAAGAAGGGAAAGAGAGAATAAATTGTCTTTATTCTTTTCTGCATTTAATATTTGTGCAAGTTTGTTCTCCTACAACACAATTCTTCAGAATGTGTGATGCGGCCAGGACGACGTATCCAATATCATATCATCAAGTCTAGATGCATTACTGAGATATGATGCGTCGCGTATCGACCACGAAAGTACATTTCAATGACGGGCATCCGTGTTACATCGCAAACATCGCCACATTCCTCATTGACACGTAACCCGAACGACGTCCTATAGAGAGTCCGTCGATCCCATAACGACCAACAGTGTTTGATAAGAGACAGGGTAGCCCCGATGGTTTGGATGAGCTCGGATTTAATGGATGGATGAAGGACAGATTCTGCAGATACATCAGAGGACCGGCGCGGTATCTCGCGCAAACATCAGGACGAAAGCACGTTACTCTCTCTCTATCCCTCCGCAACCCCCTTAACCCCCGATCAGTCTCCGACTCTTTCACGTAGCTACTATCTTTCTTGGATGCTATACTTTCAGTCTCTATTCCACTCTAAATCGCGTCATCTCTCTTTCTCTTTCTTCCTCTCTATCTCACATGAGTAGATCGCATCATCTTTAATGCATGCTCTTTGTCTCTTTTGTAATGTTCTTCGTCAATTAACCAATTTCTGATATCGATCCTTTTCTTTCGCGATTATGGAAGATGGGATATCAAGGTAAATAATGTATTTAAGGGGTTTTTGCGCGTTTGGCTGTAGTTAGATTAGCGATCGCTCGAATGTGTCTGAGAGATTAATACATGTATATTATTATTACATTTATTACGCATCGCAAATTAAACTTGTTTCCCACGTAATCGATACGCGGTTACATAAGGATCACGATCCTTTTGCTTTTTATATATCGGATATATGTATACCGATAATTGACCGCGAACTAAATTAATAAAAATTAAAATTACGCTTATTCAAAATTATTTAATTCCATAATTTATTAGCAAATTTAAATTAGCATAGATTTAAATTAGCAGTCTGAAGTAATTTAAAAAATTAATTCACAAATAGAAAGATTCACATCATGATATTTAATAATAATTATCTATCATTCGACGTAACACATTTTTATACCTTTATTATTTAAACCTTATAGAAAGTAATATTAATGGATATTTTAAAAAGATTAATTACACAGACCTGTAAGGGATAGTTAGTACAAAAAGCAGAGTAGGTCTGATTGAGTTTTTGACGCTGAAAACGAGTCTGACCGCAGAATTTCCCCAGCACATAATGTTTTTGAATAATTTGTGGTTAAATAGTTCAAAAATAACTATTTCAGCAAATTTCATGAATTTATTATGGGAGAATTTAATTTTTTTCAATATTATGAAATATTTATATCAATGGCATCGTATAATACTTACTCTTTATCTTTTAAATCCATTTCCAATTGTCGCTGGATGATTTTTTTTCTGACACAATACAAGTATAAAGTTATAAGAAAATTTACGTTAAAGAAAATTTACGTAGAAATCAATATGGCAGAACTATATTAAAGCTGCCATTTTGAAATTTGAAACGGTTTACATTTATCACGTGCGGTTATCGAAAAAATTTTGTATATCTATAATTATTACACATTTTGATGAATTTTTCTAAATTTTATACTTTTTTATTATGATTCTGTCCGCCATATTGAATCTGCCATTTTTACTTTCAAAAAATAACAGCGTTCAAAAATTAATGTTTTTACCTAAATCTTGATTTATGATAAGACAGAGAGATGGCACAGTTGACTTCTAATGACTTATTGGATCCCATAGACATACTAACATAGACGGCTTATGAAGTGAAGTCCGAAGTTGAAACGTCCTTCTGAGAGGAAAAGATAGCATGAATTTACTTGTGTGTCTGTCTTTTTCTAATGAATGTATCCGCGCATTAATATGCGTGATTTTAATAACCTGAAATTGCATCGTGCGTGTGTCAAGGGAAAATAGACGCACCAAGTAAATTCATTCTATCCTCTTCTCTCAGGACATCTTCCACTATCTTATAAGCACTCTATGTTAATGTATCTATGTTGAAACCCTACATATAACCAGTCTTATAATTTGTATATCTCAGCAAAAAAATCGTGCAGTTACAATCGAAAGTGAATTTGAAAGGTGAAGACTAGTAACTATGCCATTAGTAGAAATATTTCAAAAAATTAGATTGTCTCATAATAAATTCATAAAATCGAAATAGCCATTTCTTAACTATTTAACCACAAATTACTCAAAAATCTGACGTGCTGGAGAAATTCTCGGCTAGATTCGTTTTTAGCGTAAAAATCTATCAGATTTAGCTACTCTGTTTTTTGTAACCAATCAAACATAAAATTTTGCAGGCCTGTATTATTTAATATCGTTAAATTATAGATACGTTCTATATGCAAAAGAAAATCTCGAAAAAAAGTAATCTCGATATTGAGAAAGAAAATTACATTTAATTATATTTAATAATTTTTCAAAGTTATATCTTTGCAATTTTTGTTTTATAAAGGAAATTAAACTGCAAGTGTGTGCTGCTGTATATACACCCACATATAGATTAGTGGTAAATTTGACAAATGATGTATACTAAAAGAGACTTAATTGAGAAAAATAAATGGTAATCCATTGGTATCGATGAATTTATTGCATTGGATTGATTCATATTTACAACAGGGACACATACATATGCATTTTCATCTACTCTATCGATTATCTACATATACAACTTTTCATTTTTAATTACGCTTGATTAATTCACCGCGATTACCTGCCGCTTATCTAGCTCGCACAACATATACAGACCAACGTCTGTTACGATCTTCTTCGTTAAAATAAATTTTCAACACATACAATAGAGCAAACTATCTTTGTTGTATAATCAATTTTGTTTCGCGGTGCATTTCAGAATTTATTTTATTGGATAAATAGAAAATAGCGTTTAGTTTGCCTTTTCTTCAATTACGAGATGTAAATAAAAATGCATAGATGGACATATGAATAATAATAATAATAATAATAATAATGATAATAATCTTTTTATAAATATTCTTGAATCTATTGCAAAGCTCTTAATGATCGTAGTCATATTAGCCACAATAATCATGATTAGCTCTAATAATTACAATAATAATAATAGTGACCAATATTTTATTTGCTATCTATAATTCGCTTAAAGCTACTATCACACCGATTTATACATTTGCCTAAAAGTAGATAGATATGCGATCAATGTGTAAAATCGCTCCGCATGCCCACATAATTATAGATTCTTCTATTTATTTCGCGATACAAAAGAATCTTCTTTAATCTTCGTATTCAATTATATTTCCATCCTGTTTCAATAAAATCAAAATTTGTTTAATATACAATTTTTTTGATAAAAATAACAATGACAAAAAATATATAGTTTGTCTCGAGGTTTTAAAATATGAATTTATTGATTTATCCAAGTTACTGACAAAATTTTTGAAGAAATTAAATTATTTCACATATTATACTTTGAAAATTACGGAGAAAATGTAAAAATATTAATTTTGAAACATATAAAGTATTACATTAAAAATAAATAGATATAAAAGAATATTGATTTTATTTTTGCACCAAATACAAATGTGATTTTCAAAATTCTCTCATCAGACAAACTATATTTATTCTAAATTTTTATTTCTGTCACACAATAGAGCAATTAACACATAATGGAACTCGAGAGTAATCACTGCATGAGATCTGGACGAATTTTTGATAAGTTTTTTGGACGATTTCATCTTACTCTCTCTGTCAGTCTCTATGTTGAGACAGTCCTAATTACAAATCACTTTACTAATATATCTCGTCCACCGTTTACGCGCGTTAACGTATTTGCTTTGCACATATATATATTTACAAATATTTACATACATATGTAATAAACCCGCAGGAATTCATTGCAGCCATCAATACCCAAAATCGATCATTAAAACCCTTTCCAATTGATGAAGGGACTAATAGGGCAACTGCATTTTGTTGATTGGATGTGGTTGATTTCATTCATACTATGAATTATTTACGATATCCGATACATCGTCTGATAAATATCTCGTAAAATCACATATTGAAATATTACCCAAACTATTACAACGCGTGCAATCCACAGTCGAAAGTCTGACAATTATATCTATATTTACAATATATTCTATGGAGGCTAATAAAATGTAACATAAATTTAATCAAGAATTTTTAACAGTGAAATATTATAAAAATATGAAAAATCAATTTTGCGTTACAATATATATATATATATATATATATATATATATATATAAATTTGAAAGAATAAATTTGACAAAATTTAATTAACATCAGTTACGTTATAAAAATAGGGAACTACGGAATCATTAGCCCGATATATAAAAGTAAGAAAATCGAGCAATAATTTTATTTAAGTCATTTAGTATTTTGTTTTCAATTTAACTTTAACTTCAATTTTGTAATCATGCGGATGAACAACCAACTGTCAGATTTTATTGAAAAAACTGCAATATTATTTTTTGCAATATTAAAACTTCTGTTACATTTACAAGAAATAATCTTATTAGCTCTTGATCACTTCCATATTGTATATATTTTCAGCTAAATATGTCGTAAATGTATTTTCCAATCATCATAACAAAAGCGGGATATATTTTCTCCAAATAAGAAGAGATATATCAAATGCGGATTCTTTGGCGTTTCCTTTGCTCTTTACTTGGAAGTTTGCGCTAATTGGCCCATGTCAGCTGAATAGCAAGGCGAGCCGAGGATGAGCGGATATTGTGTCTTTCTAGGATAATGCATGTTTTCGCTCTGTCACAACATCTTACTGAGAGAATGATAACTTGTAGATCCAGGCGGGGGAAGTATAAACGGATTGACAATGGAATGTTCTGGACCATGATACACTGACGAGTAGCCTGACTGCTGATTATGACTCTGGCTCGAGGTGTCCAATCCACTGAGCACTGGAGAACCTGCGTCGTGCAGCTTCCGCATATGCTTCTTCAGGTCGAAGTTCCTGCAAAAGCCCTTGCCGCAGATTTTACATGAGAACGGTTTTTTGTCATTATGCGTGTGCATATGGAAAGTGAGATTATAGATCTGATGGAATGCCTTGTTGCAGATGTTGCACTTGTACGCCTTCTCTCCGCTGTGCGTCAGTTTGTGGTTTTTATAGTTGCCCTTCTGATGAAACCCTTTGCCGCAAAATTCGCAAACAAATGGCTTAAAATTGGCATGTATTCGCGTGTGAGTGTTTAGGGTCGAACTACGATTGAAAGCCTTTCCGCAAGTCACGCATTTATGCGGCTTTTCAGCGGTGTGAATGATCTTATGCCGGCAGAGAGTGCTCGCTTGCCGAAAACCTTTGCCGCAGATTTTGCAGACGAATGGCCGGGCACCTGTATGTACCGGCATGTGTCGCGTAAGATTGTAATGCGCGTTGAACACTTTACCGCATTCCGAACAGGTAAAGGTCTTTTGCTTGTTCACAGTGCCGAGCTCGCCGCGCGGTGCCGGACTCTTCTTCCCACGCTGATTCTCCGGCGACATACTGGCAAGACTGAGCCTGGAAGAAGCCTCCTGAATAGTCGTTGGGGGTGGCGAGCTTTGCGTGACCGACGGAGTTGAAGCAGGTGGGCCTGGGAAAGCCCTCAATAAAGGACTGGGATAGTACAGCGGATAGTATTTGGATAATACGGGGTAATGCTGTAGCAAATCCTGATGTCTTAGAGTCGGCACGTACTTTTCGAACGCCGATTTCAGATGCGCTGAATATGACGGAGAAGAGATGCTCGGTGATTGTTGTAAAATCGTTGTTGTTGTCGTTGTTAGTACCGCTGATGGTGGGGATAGGACCTGATTAGCGTTCTGCTCGGTCAGTCGCTTGTCTGGCTCCATAATCTTTGCGATAGAGAAGGTGAGATTACGGCAGGGAGTCGGGGAGGTTACCCTTTCAGGCGGCAAGCTCGTCGGTGTCTCCGTTGCCATTGTGCTGCCCGTCGCGAATGGTTGCATGGTAGGCCTGCAATGAAAATACTGACTGTAAGACGGTATTTCCCAGGGCGAGAGATTTTCATGGTCAAAGGTGAATCGCGCAGAGCGGGTTGAAAAGAACCCCTATACTTAACGCTGCCTACTGACTGATTTCTTTTAACGCCTCATGAGTAATTTATATAAGAAAAATATTTTTTCTTTATAAAAATACAGAAAGTTTATATGTTACGATTTCATATGCTGTAATTAAAATATAATATTAGTAAAAATATATTTTACTTCTCATGTGAATATGTGTTACAATAATACAATAATAAAGAAATGAAAGTGCCACAATAATAATAAATTTAAATATGTATATATTTAAATAAATATTTACATATATTTACATATATATATTTATTATATATATTTATTATATATATATATATATATATATATATATAAGTGCTTCTTCTAATAATTATTAATATAAATATGTAAATTTAATTCTTCTCTCTATTTTAATTCTCTCTATTTAATTCTTCTCTCTTATTATCTTTCTTCTCTTTATTTCTTCAAAAATTAATTTTATAATTTAAGGTGATGTAAGAATTATATAATAAAAATATATAAATATGTATAAAATTTGTTAATATTGCATAATGAAAAATTATTTACGGTTGAAAATATTAAAATGTCTATTATTCGTCGACAGTACAATATGCACGAGACTTTGCTAATCGTTCAAAGAGGGAATATCAAAATCATGGCTATCAATTTGATGACTTCGAGGGCCGCAAGTACTAGTAATTCCCCCTTCGCAGCCCCACGTTAGTATTTTAGCACACACCGAAACTCACATGTCAGTAAATCCAAATGAAACATACGGTACCGCTATTATATCCACTCAATTGAACCTCGCGTTCATAGAAAAAGAAAAAACGATGAGGATAAGTAAACATCGATTCAACAAGAAAACAAAGCGATTTTTTAATGCTTCCAATATTTCTCACTTTCTGTCCATAAATACTGTCATTTTAATCATTTTTTATATATTTTAAAAAATGATTCTTGAATATTACATAAGTTTCCAAAGTTGTTTACAATTTTATCTTTTTTTTTTAAATTCTCTCTTAACTAAAAAAACTACATAAGTAAAAGATGATGTATAATACAACTTTATTTTTACTTACTATTAATATGAAACTATTAATATGACACATTTGCTATTTATAACACACAGCTAATACATATATTAGTATATTTTTAAATTGTTAACGATAAGATATATTTTTCATACATCTTATGAAAATGAATATTTAATATGATATAGATATTTGAACTCAGCTGTATATGTGAGCCATTAAGCATATGCAATGGGAGCAAGAAATGAATGACGAAACTGAATGAGACGCGAAATGGTCAGCACAGTAGAAGAGCAAGCTTTCCCGGAGGTATCGCGAAAGGTTTGCACGTCGAAAAGTAGAAATGTTTGCTCCGTGGAATGGCGTTATGTTTGGACTTGGAATGACGACTGAAATTGGATGGGATTTCGTTGGCTATCCCATGAAATACTCCCAGTGCAATAGTCGTCCGATCTTGATGCAAGATTTACGATAGGATGAGTTTGATTGAAACATGTATAGCTATAGAAGTATATTTGCCAAACTTTAATATTTTGCTTTTCTGCTAAAAAGTAATACTTATATATTCTTTTTGTCTAAATAATGTTACTCGAAATGCTCTTTTATTACATTTATTAATAAATCTTTTATTATTTTATTAATAAATCTTTTTACTTTTTTATCTTTCTTAATGTAATCCAATGAAAAAATCGATTATTTTAATTAATAAAATATATTCCAAAGTTTTTATTATAAATATCTTTTAACCGCCTTTCGATAAAATTTGTTTTTATTTTATTTTATATATTAAAAATATTAATTTTTATTTATTATCTACATGATTTTCCAATCCCTATTTTTCATTTGTACATGAATAAGAAATAACGCCTAAATCTCTCTATCAAATCTCCAAAAAAAAAGCGTTTTACCCAATTTTAAAATAAATTAAAAATATATTTCTAATAAATTTAAATTAAATAATTTCTTATGAAATCAATAATTTATCCTAATCATCTGTAAATTTCTTTCTCATTATTACATCATATTGTGCATTTACGCTCCAACTTTCTTTGTTTTTATATATCTCGCTGGAAATTTTACCAAAAAGCTCAAAAGAATGAAGTTAGATGGAACGACACAGTAGCCCTTCATAACCCGCCCATCTCGGGCACCTTTCGATTGTCTCTCAGTCGAAGGCAACCTTAATAACCGACATAGCCTGATAAGAAAAGCTATCCCCAGTGTGAGAAGCAAGACTCGAGAAAAACGGTCTTGCCTCATAATTCGAAATCCGCCCCTGCTACCTATAGAAAAGCGCCGACAACGTTGACGCGACGCCAACTTTCAGCGCCATGAAAAGCGTTTTTCCAACCGAAGATCGATCGAAGTGTACCACCGATTAAAAAAGGATGTAATTATGTATTGCGAAGACTCGATAGGCGAACTCTCTTCTTGGAGTTTTCCCAAATTAAACTTAAAGCACTCATTAGGTGGCATCATTTTTTGTGTCTTCGTGACTTTATCGTGTTTTTCTCTGCGTTCTCTTTCTTTCATGCGGCTATATTTTTATTTTATTATTGATGTGTATTTTATAGATATATTTTACAAACAATTGGTATTTATCAATATTTTAAAGCAAATTTCATATACCCTAAAAAATTCAATATTTTTTAACATTTTTATTATATTCTCGATATTTTTTAAATTTATCATTTCTAGAATATACATCACTCATTCTATTCTATTCTATTATTTCATTTCCTAAGTGATAATTTTACTTTTTCCATTTATTTTTTCCATTTAAAATGATCTTTTTCCATTTATTCTTTTCTTTTATTTCTCATATCTATCTACTATGATATATATATATATATATATATATATATATATATATATATTTTTCTTTTCGCCTTTTTCCATTCTCATTCACTGTTTCTCTCGTATCACTCTTATTTTTTTTCTTAAATACAAAATATTATGATTCTCTTCTATCTCCTTATATTATCCTTCTCTCTCTCTTTCTTCAATTCTGTATGTCTATATTCTACTTCTTGCACGTATTTTCCATTCTATTATTTTTTCTTTCTCTCATTCCTATCATTTTCTCTTCTGCTTCATTTTCCTCCGCGCTCATTGCCTTCTCTGTTACTCGTCCCCAACATTATCTTTGATTTTCTTCTCACACTCTCCTCATTCACACGCTTCTCCCTCTGCTGTCTTAACCTTACCTCACTCATCCTCCTTTCCATTCTCACGCTTCTCCCTTCTTCTCTTTTACTATCTTTCTGTCCCTTATAGTCTCACTCCTTCTCTTCTTGCACGCTCAAGCTATACTGTCGTCCTTCTCTTTGGTATCGTGTCAATCTGTATCTCTTTCCTTATTCTCTTTTCGTTTCACTTCAGTCGAGAGGGATAGCAGAGTAAGCCGCTACCGACGGAGGGGATGAACGAGAACAGATTGGTGGAGGCTATCATCGGTCGCCCGAGGGTGCAAGAAGCGAGGGGTGGCAAACCTTACCGTGGTGGGGGCTAGCATTGTTACAGTACTTAACGAGCGGCCGTGGCAATCAGTATCGTTCCCCGCTACCGGGACCCGTGGCACTCGGCAATTCTACCAATTTATATCAATCCCAGCCGAAGTATGGCCGACACGTAGCCAGAGACCATTTTGTTTTCTTAATGCCACTCGACCCAATCGACAACGTGATCCCACGCGATCATCAACGCAGCTATTTGCTCCTTTCGCGGAGCCTGATGTATTTTTGCGAATTGTTCTTTCTATGTACGATAAAAATATTGACCAAATAATCATACAATTCTAGATAAAAAGTTAAAAAGAGGAGAAAATCATGTATCAAATTTTAAAGTGCTGTGGCAATTAAAAAATATGTATAATAACATATGAGAGAGAAACATAACAATATTTTATTGTTAACAATTATATTTTTGCATACATATAAAAAATGTATATACAATTAATAAGAAAAAATTCAACGTTTCAAATAAAATGCATGCAATTCATTGCGTGATCATATATGCATATGCGTATTTATATTACGTATTCACATTACATGACATATTTTTAAGATAGATTCTTCTAAAATTATAAATTTTTATATTCCACGCGCGCGCGCAACATTGCACATTTGATATATGAATTTATTATAGTGTATAAATGCATCATCGGATTGCATCATTTATTAAACATGTTTGTAAAATATAGATGCTTCTGTTATCATACATAAAAAAAATCACTCTAAGCAAAAATATGAAAATAATTTCAAGAATCAAATGCTATGTCAATTGCTAGAAATGTTATGTTTTTAAATAATTCACAAGAGAGAAATGAAATGCGAAGTAAATTTAACATCGAGGAACAAAATGTTCATAACGGGTGTTGCAAGTTTTGCATAAAAGACGCGCGGACTACGCGAAGCTAAGAGTCAGCTTTCGTGACTGGCTCAATAACGCGGCAACCCCTTTGCGAGCGAGCGATTTATCTACCGGTAAGGATTAAATCGCGGGCGCTAAATGTACAAAGTTTACCGATGTGGTTACAAACGACCCGAAGAATCCAATCACCTCCAGTAAACTATTAGCGAACGATGAACGGATAGCTACGGACTTAAAGAAAGTTGAAGAGACTCGAAGGAACTTGAAATGGTTTTGCAAATTTGTTCGCCTCGTTGTCGATCTGCTAATTACCTTTCTCTGTCCTTCGATCCTTTCCGACCACCAGGATTTCGATCTCTTATTTACTTTCTATCATAATCAAAGAAACAATTAAGATATTACACTCAACTGAATGTCGTGTTTTACCGTTGCCTGTACCGTAAAATACTTTTCAGGCTCCTCCTCTGACTTGCAAATGCGATCGTCTGAGGATCACCAGTTGTCTTTCTTCGAGTTTCTTTAGATCTTC